GGGGTTCGTGGATTTTCCTATGTTTCGAGGGGTGCATCGATTAGGTTGGGGCCGAAGATAGTACCAGAGCTGAGCCAAAAAGTTGAGCACGTTTCTTCGGGACCTTCTGGTCTTAGAGTTACCTCTATGCTATCATCGGGTTGGGGAAAGTTTCCCCTATCCGATGATGATGTTAATTTGCGTTCGGTTGGCGAGAAAGGAACTTTCAAACTTTGGCATATAAAAGTTGATAGTAAATTTTCAGTTGTTGGTCTACAATATATTGAATTGATTCTACTTTTTGATAGAACGAAATTCTGCCCGCCAGACTATAACTATAGCGACTATAGTTCTAACTAGTTTTCAATCCGACAAGTAGGCTTACTCAGATTGGACTCTTTTGCTTCCGCTGTCATTGCGCTTGGGCCTTTACGCGTATTATTTCTACAGATTCGGGATAGTGGGCTATAGACTTCTCTGACGTTTGTGAAATGCACAAGTATTAGTGCAGAACTCGGGGTAAATTATAGGTATTAGTGCAAGAAAACCTTTGAATATACCCAAAGTTCTGCACTAATATATGTGCAATTCACAACCGTCAGAGAAGTCTATACCGAGAAGGAGCGGATAAAGGACGAAGAGACGGCCAAGCGGCTGGCGCTGTGGAAGGAAAATCGATTGGAATCGAGTCCTTTAAAATATTTGAGCCTTAATAAATAAAGTAATAGGAGAACAACGTAGAGCAAGTGTCTTCAGCAACTTTTCATTAATTTTTACGATCTACAACTTTGCCCAAGATGGCAAATCTCTAGAGATCGAAATATACAAAATTTTGATTGGATGAAGTATAGAAATTATTATAACCACATTTTCTTATAATTATTTCCAGAACTGTTGAAAAAAGGTGCATTAGCTTTGGTTGCAACTTGCGACCACACGGTCGAAAATACGGAGGCAAAAATAAAACTTTTTTATCTCCAATTTATTTTAGTTCAAATCAAGCCAAGAAGCTGAAGTTGCTGAAGACGTCAACTTAATTACATGCAATTCCAGAGCGTTAATAATGTAATCGTACTAGATTTATTTTCCGGCCCACTGTGATCTGAAGCTGAATAGTAGCTTATTCATATTAACATCCCAAGCAACCAAAAGTTCCGCATTCAACGATAAAACCAAGGGGTAATTCACTCAGCACATTGTGCAAAATTAGATTCGGCACAACTTGGGCACATCTATCGGCACACCTTCGGCACAATCTCGTATGCATTGGATTGTTGTAAATAAAATGGTAGCACTGCAAGACAACTGTCATTGAAGTTGTTCACAACATTATGTATTCGTGTGTATTCGTGCGTTTACGGCTGTCAAAGAGCTTTTCGAGTTCAATGAACCAATTGGACGTTTTACAAATCGGATTAGGTCTGTGTTGAATTATCTTTAATTTTATTCATTAAGACTCTGACAAGAATTATTTTAAATACAAATTCAAATACAAATACAAATTACGTGCTGATTGACTGTACATTCAGGAAAATCCTCTAATTGAATATACCAGAGGAACTTAGACCAGCAGTTCACTTCTCAGCTCATCATTACCATTACCCATTACTTAGCGACTGCGGTATCTCTGCCGACAGCGGGGTCACCACCGACTGCTTCTGCCAGTGGAGCTCTACTGGGGTCCGCATCTAAGCTGAAAGCACCGACGCCAATATCAGTCAGATCACGAATCAAGAAGGCTATCCCATTGCATGCGAGTTCTCTTTAATGCCTCCCTCCGGTATGCGAGCTGATTCCAGTCCCTGTCCAGCACAATCGTCGACTGCTAACATTTCGCCAAAAGATGATTATTCATCACTTAATACTCGACACCCGACTTTCGGAAGCCCCGAAGGATCTACTCTGGCAATCCAATGGAACATGAATGGCTTCTATAATAACCTTTCGGACCTAGAAATTTTGTGTGCGCGACATCATGCTCACCATCTAGACCTAAATACGAAATGTAGGTTCTAGAGGGAGCTCAAGAGAAAGAGGCAATTAATCAAACCCCATTAGTACCCTTAATTCAAATAATGCTGCAACTCATACAAAACAAATTACAGAAGTTTATTCATCATCCTCAATGGTCGGTCTCCTACAATGTTTCCCACCGGTTCCAACTCTTTCCGGTCGCTGATAGACCGTTGCTTTTCACATCACGAAAGGCTAGGTTTCTAGTCTGCCTTTGAGGGCATTAAAAACCACAGGACTTTTATTATCCTTCAATATGGGGGCGACCCCGGCGTAGTGGTTAACATCCATACCTCTCACGCAAAAGTCACGAGTTCAAATCTCACCCCCGGACAAGTCACGCGTGAGTGTTAAAGTGACTATAATAAAAAAAAATATTATCCTACGACACAAAATACCAAAATTTCACACACCCGCCACTTCCCGCGTCATCCTCAATCCGATTTATCCTTGCGATTCAAACCAAAACATTCAAGGTGTCAGAAATACCGCGTTGCCGGGATGGATGTTTTACAAACAATCGTGGCTTGCTCTATGACCGGCACAATCGACACACTTGCTTGCGGCACAGTGACAAAAAGGATGATCCAAGATTGGTGTGTGGAGTGACCTACCCCTTGGATAAAACTCACTTTTAAGTTCCATAAAGTTCAAATATTTTTTTTCTTTTTTTTTTTTTTTTTATTATGGTCACTTTAACACTCTTGGGTCATTCGTGACTTGTCCGGGGGTGAGATTTGAACTCGTGACTTTGGCGTGAGAGGTATGGATGTTAACCACTACGCCGGGGTCGCCCCCAAGTTCAAATAAAGTTTCGACAGAACCATCAAGTTCCAAAAAGTTCGAATAAAGTTCTGACAGAACTTTCAAGTTCCATAAAGTTCAAATAGTTCGATTCAACGAAAATGGAGGTGAACCAACGCGAGTTGAGAGAACAAATTCTTTCCAAACGTTGGACCACGGCAAAGGAGCTGGAAGAAAACCGGGACCGGAGAACAAAAAGACGGAGGGAAAGGTGAAGCGGATGATTAAAGCAAATCCCAACGTCTCAAGCCGTGATTTGGCTAAAAAGATCGGCATGTCGCAGAGCTACGTCCAGAATGCAAAGAAGAGAGCTGGACTACATACATACAAGGTACAGAACTTCCCAAACCGCGATGAGCGGCAACAATCGACGGCTAAAACTCGGGCACGGAAGCTCTACGAGAAGATGCTGACAAAATATGGCTGCTGTGTGATGGACGACGAAACATATATAAAAGCCGATTTTAAGCAAATTCCGGGGTTGGAGTTTTTCACCGGCAAGAGCAAGTTCGATGTGGACGACAAATTTAAGAAGAAGAAAATGTCGAAGTTCGCCTCCAAATATCTCATTTGGCAGGCCATCTGCTCTTGCGGACTGAGGAGTGAGCCTTTCGTGACAAAGGGCACAGTAAATGGCGAGATCTACAAATCTGAGTGCCTCGAGAAGCGCCTTTTGCCGTTCTTGCAGCAGCACAACGAAGCTCCGCTATTTTGGCCAGATTTGGCATCATGCCACTATTCTAAAAGTGTCCTGGAGTGGTATGAGGCCAATTCTGTCCATTTTGTTCCAAAGGACATGAATCCGCCAAACTGTCCGGAGCTGCGCCCGGTGGAGCAGTACTGGGCAATAATGAAGCGGGAACTTCGGAAGAGCAAGAAGACAGTCAAAGACGAGAAGGACATGTTAAGAAAATGGAAAAAACTGAGAAACTGGTACCGGATGACACTGTAAAGACTTTGATGGAGGGCATCAAGCGAAAATGCGTTCAATTTTACACTCAAGGCTCCATCGATTAACTTTTCTTTTGATTTTTGAAGTAAATATATGTATAAAACTACCCTAAAATTTTGGTTTGATTCTAAACATTATAAGAAAATTGGCATGACATTTTCGGTGTCGCAATAATTTCGTGTTCGCCCTTTATACATCATTTTGCGGAATACTGTTGATGAAAAAAGTTAGAGGCAAATGAATGTAAATGAATGCATGAAATGAATGTAAATGATTTTCCGTGCCTGATCAGAACGTTTGGTTAGTTGGGATATGCTTATTCAGCTAAAAATAACTTATTCAGCTTTTTGATCAGGTAATGTTTTTTTTTTGCTAAATAGAAAAAAAAAGTATAAGTTGCGATGACGGATGGTGGTTTATGAACTCCATATCATTTTTTACTTAATCAAATTTTCCTGAAACATTATAAATTATCGAAATTTAAGGCATGGCTAATCCTTAGGATTTTATCGAAGCTAATACGTACATATTTATAAGTTATAAATACTCCATAGCAAAGAGTTGCTTATTTGAAGAAGATATTTTGTTAATGATAGATCACCTAATCATTCATCTCCTTTCCCCAATTGCCATCGTACATTTGATCCAATATTATATAATATTTCACCGTCATCAGCAGCACTTCTGAAGAATGACATTGTAGCAAAAAGCTCATAATACAAATATCGGTCCCGTCAAATCCAAAAGCGTGAGCGTGATAAAAAAAAATCGCATCCTTTCAATGTCTTTACCATACACCATCTGTCACTACTACTGATGCTACTGTTTCCCATCTTAAAAAATAAAAAAATAAAGAAAACTCATCATAAATCTAATTATGGTAACGGGGTGTGAGGACAACAACAACAACTGGCAACAAATAGATCATCCTTGCTTGCCGTCCAAGTCTCGTCCTCTGGCAGACTATTTGACACATTAGAGAAAGGAAGATGCGGTGGCAAATGGCTCTCTGACATTTATGAACTCATCTTCTCTCGCATCTCTCCGGTGGAGAAGGTGACGACCGGTGGCAATTTTAGATTTTCAATGCATCCGGTGCCAGCCGATCTCCGTGGGGATGGCAAAAGTTTAGATTATGTTTTTTCCGACTTCGTATATGGAGATTTCTGACCGGAAAGCCCGTTGTCTAAAGTATTGATTCAATCGAAATTAAGCGATTGAAAATCATAAAAAAAACTAGAACAATACTTACCAGGGTTTCCAATTTTCCGGCAGTGGATGCAGCAATCCCTGTCGGGCGAGATAAATCAGGTTGGTTTCCTTCTCCGGATCGATGCCAATCTTGACTGCATACTCAAGTATTTCTGCATTTTCATCCACGAAAGCACAGCGAGAAATCGAAAAGACAAAAAAATACCAAGACAATGAATGTTGAGATTTTTCATCACAAATAGGCAAGAAAAAGCCTCCACCGCAGGACAAACGCACAGAAAAGACCAGAAAAATCTCATCATCAAAAGGGCAGAAATGACGAACAGAAAAAAGGCCACACAAAAGAAGCATCCTTATGTCATTGATTTTTCCGCAGATCCTTTTCTCGGTTCTCGCCCAACACTCTACTGAGCTGGCGCTGCTGGTGACCGTTCGTACCTTCCTTTGACGGTTCATAGGTTGAGTAGAAAACTTCCTCCGGGTTGCCACTGTCGTATGCAGGATGCGAAGACATAATCCACCTACTAGAGGACCTCGAACGATCCGCAGTCACTTTCACACTTTTCCCGAGCTCTTCAACTTCGATTGCCGACTTTCGGGTCAATTTCGCTTCTCACACTTCACTGCACTCCATATCGAACTTCTTTTTTTCTGCTCAAGAGCCACAACCCCTTTCTTCTAACTGAATAGTCCTGCCACTTCTACAAATTTTCTTCACAAAATCAATTTTCACTAAAGTACACTGGTCAAACTGGAAAAGACCGAAATGATACAAATTTTCTACACTTTTTTCCACTCCAACTTTTTTCTTAATGTCTAGCTGTAGGCAGGTACCTACTGAAAGGATAGAACGTGCCAAAAGCGTGCCCTGTCTGGCCTAGTGCTGAGGAATTTATGAAAGCTGCGGAAGAAAATAGCAGAGCAAAATTTACGTAGGATAGAGGACATATTCGAGTTCACTCGTCGCAAAAACCAACGAAATGGGTGCGCATGTGCCGGAAACATATGGGACAGCAACAGAAAAGGTAATGGTTCTCGGGAAGCCGTTGAGCTTTCATGGAAGAATTTCCATTAACACATAACATTACGTCAAGAAATCATTTCAAAGGGCTTACAATATTTGGCCTCTACAGGGTTAGCATTCCTAATTTAACATTAGGTTGTATTAGATATTCAACGTTCTCACTACAGCGAATGTTAAGCGAACCGGTCTTGATATAAATATGGGTCATTCCAGCTCAAGTGTATACACCACCTAAGGTCGATGTCATGAATTTTAAACAAATTTTGCCAAAATGTTTAGTACCCTGCGCTTCGGTCAGAGAGCGTATAGGGCGTCGTTGTGCCAATTTGGTCGTGGCACATTTCGAGTATGAGAGACTAATTGCAGTTAGATCAAAAGTGCCTGAGAAAAATGCAAGTACTTTCGCAGATTACCCGAAGTGGCGATAGTGAAGGTATGATCACAGGCAAGCAGACATAACACTCTTAAAACATTCATCAAAATTGTTTTAACGGTAAATTTAAATGTTTCTTAGTTGGTAGTTGTTAACAAAGTAGGCGTTGGATTGCTTTCTTGAACACTCCAATCAATTTTCTAGCGTCATTCCATATCAAGACACTGAAGAGAGCAGTCATACCAAGATAACTTTATCGTTAATAAAACTTGTTCATTGTTAAGTGTTGTCCTGGTTATTTCCTGTCCGCCCCATCCGCACCGTATTCCTTTAGGTTATGGGCTCGTCTACGAAGGAAGGCTCTGGAATTCCGCAGCTAAACGGATCGAACTTTGAGAACTGGCGTTTTCGCGTTCAACTCTACCTGGTTGCGGCGGAAGTTTCAGAAGCGCTTACGGGGCAAGTTCCTGGTGCAACGGATGCTGGAAGAGCGAAGTTTATGCAGACAGATCGGAAAGCGAAGTCACTACTGGTCGGATTCCTTTCCGATGAATGTCTTGGCATAGTACGGGACAAGGAGACGGCTCGCGATATGTGGAAGGCACTCGAAGACACCTTCGCGAAGAAGTCTGTGGCAAGTCAGACTCTGTTACGGAAGCAACTGGCAAGACTTCGGATGAAGGAGGGTACTTCAATGCGGCATCATTTCCAGCAGTTCGACGACATCGTACGGCAGCTCAAGACCGCTGGTGCGAAATTGGAGGAGAACGATACGGTATCACAGTTATTTTTGACCCTTCCCGACAGCTACGACTCCATGGTAACAGCTTTAGAGAATATAAACGAAAAGGACCTGACGTTGGAAACCGTGAAGCAACGATTGTTGGCGGAGGAATCCAAGCGGTCTGATCGGATGGAAGATTCTTGTGAAGATAGGAGTGCAGCGTTTGTCGGAGGACGAAATAAGAAGACCAAAAAGTTTACCGGAAAATGCCATCGTTGCGGAAAGGTGGGACATATGCAAAAAGATTGCTATGTTAAGAAGCCAGAAGGTAAGGTGAATGCGGCCGTTAACAGCAAATCAGTTTCATTCATGGTGAACAAGATGCCGACGAAGACGGAACATAAGAGGTCAGTTTTCGTTGTGGATTCTGGATGCAGCGACCATCTGGTGAACACTTTGGAATGCATGCAGTCGGTGAGGAAACTCAAACAACTGTTCGTGATCGATGTAGCCAAAGATGGTGTTTCAATTATCGGAAACTACGAAGGTGAAGTTACTGGACTATCAAGAGAAGGTGTGAAGTTTGAAATGAAAAATGTGATTTTCGTGCCCGAGCTGAGAGGAAACCTGCTATCCGTGAAGAAGATGTCCCAAGCGGGAATCGACGTACTATTCACAAGCCGTGGTGGAAAGCATCAAGCGATGATGAAAAAGAATGACTCAGTAATTGGAGTAGCGCATCTACAAGGTAATTTGTACGAATTGGATTTAAACTTGGACGTGTCAGGAGCTACCGCAAATCTATGCGCATCGGACGCTGGAAAACTCTGGCATCGTCGTTTGGGTCACGCCAGTCAGACCACGATGAACACGTTGGCCCGGTATAGTGTGGCGGAAGGATTTGGTCCGAAGGTCAATGCTATCGGGTTCTGTGACACTTGCGTGCTCGGTAAGCAATGCAGAGAACCCTTCGACGGAACTCGTGAAAGAGCTAGTCGTCTACTAGAGCGGATTCACTCGGACGTGTGTGGGTGGACCAATCAATCCTCCGGCCTGGGATGGATCGAAGTATTTTGTTTCATTCATCGACGATTATAGTCACTTTGCGTGTATCTATGTGATGAAGAAGAAGTCCGAGGTTTTTGGTCGTTTTCAAGAATACGAAGCGATGGTGACCGCCCAGTTCGAAAAACGAATCAGCAAGCTAACCGTGGATCAAGGGCGTGAGTACGGCTCTAAGGAACAAGAAGCATTCTACAAGCGAAAGGGGATTCAAATCCAGCCAACCGTAGCATATTCTCCGCAACAGAACGGAGTTGCCGAGAGGTTCAATCGAACGCTAATTGAGAAGGTAAGGACAATGCTGATCGACTCGAATATGCCCAAGTACATGTGGTCGGAAGCAGTGCTTACCGGTACGTATATATTAAATCGTTGCCCTACTGCTGCTCTATCGGACAACCGTACGCCTGCTGAGTATTGGACCGGTGTGAAACCTGATCTATCGAAATTGAGGATTTTCGGATGCAAAGCATTTGCATGGGTGCCAGGTCAACTCCGGAAAAAGCTGGACAACAAGAGTCGCGAGGCGGTGATGGTGGGCTATGCTCCCAACGGATACCGCTTTTGGGATAGAACGTCAAGAAAAATCCTCGTAGCCCGTGACATCAAATTTGACGAGAATTCATTACCGTACGCTTTTGAAGACAGTCAAGATTCGAGGGTACCGTTGGTGATTCCAATGCTGTATCCGGCCGTCAAAGATGACCAGCAAGCTTAATTGGAAGAGCAGCCAGATGACCAGCAAGTTGAGTTCGAAGACGCGATGCCTGTGCTAAGTGATGACGAGGATGAGGTTGAACTAGACGAACAACCTGAGGAGCAACTTGAAAAACCTGGGGCGCTCCCTTCACAATCAAGAGGTGAAGACTGTTCAGAGTCAAACACTAGGCGTGGTGAACGGGAGCGCAGGCTCCCAGGTAAGTTTCTTGACTTTCTAACTGGGTTCAGAGCAACGTCTGCTGGAAAAATTTCAACATTCCCAGATTTCCCGGATTCGTACGATGAAATCAACGCGCGGAATGACCAAAAACTGTGGCTGGATGCAATCGATGAAGAACTGAAATCCCTGGAGGCCAACAAGGTATGGGAATTGGTGCCATGCCCAACCGGCGTCAAACCGCTGCAGTCAAAGTGGATCTTCCGCACGAAAGAGGATGAAGAAGGAAACCCTGTGCGCTATAAAGCAAGGTTGGTCGTCAAAGGTTTCTTGCAGAAAGCCGGTTTGGACTACAACGAAATCTACGCACCTGTGGCGAAGCTGACGACAATCCGTATTGTGCTGGCTGTCGGTGTTCAAAAAGGGTTCCATTTCCACCAAATGGATGTGAAGACGGCGTTTCTTCACGGTGAGCTGCAAGAGAAAATATTCATGGCGGTTCCGTACGGCGTCAAGGCGAGAGCTGGCACGGTGTGCAAATTGAAAAAGAGTCTGTATGGCTTGAAGCAGTCCCCTCGCTGCTGGAACGAGAAGTTCAATCAAGCGCTGCTGAAGTTAGGTTTTATTCGTTCCAAGCACCATTATTGCCTGTACACCCGTACCGACGAGAGGGGGGAAGATGCCATTTTCGTCGTACTATATGTTGATGACCTTCTCATAGCGGGAGCGAAGCTGTCAACAATTTTGAAATTGAAGAACGAATTATCCCGGATGTTCGCCATGACCGACTGTGGAGAGCTTAGCCATTTCCTTGGCATGAAGATACGCTACAATCGACAAGACGGAAAGATGATGCTGTCTCAAGAAGCAAGCCTAGAAAAGATCTTCCAGAAGTTTGGCAAGTTGGAATGCAATCCTACAAGGACCCCGATGGAGAAAGGGTTGCAGCTTTATCGTCAAGTTTCCGAAGCTAATGGAGTACCGTATCGTGAGCTACTGGGAAGTTTAATGTACGTGATGATATCAACGAGATCGGACATTTGCTATCCTGTCGGGTACCTGGGGAGATTCCAAGCTCAACCCGGACAACAGCACTGGACCGCGCTCAAGCGAGTAGTGCGTTACCTGAGAGGGACGATGGATCATTGCTTGACTTTAACCCGGGATGTTCAAGCAAAACCACTAGTTGGGTTCGCGGATGCAGACTGGGCTACCGATACCGAGGACAGGAAGTCAGTGAGCGGATTTGTCTTCCAGGTGTTTGGATCGACTGTTGCCTGGTCTAGTAAAAAACAAACGACGGTCGCCACTTCATCAAGTGAAGCAGAGTATGTGGCGTTAAGCGCTGCAGCATCGGAAGCAATATGGTTGATTGGTGTCCTAGGCGATTTGGGTGAAAAGCAGATCGAGCCAGTTGCCATATATGAAGACAATCGGGGGTGCATCGGCATGGCTAAGAACGTGGAGAGCAAGAGAGTGAAGCATATTGATATCAAACATCATTTTCTTCGGGATCTTGTCACCGCTGGGAAGCTGCAGATAGAACCAATTGCAAGTGAGAACCAATTAGCTGACTTCTTTACCAAGTCCTTGGACGCTGGCCGATTCGAGGAATTAAGGACGAAGCTAGGAGTATCCAAACGAGAGGGGGTGTTAACAAAGTAGGCGTTGGATTGCTGTCTTGAACACTCCAATCAATTTTCTAGCGTCATTCCATATCAAGACACTGAAGAGAGCAGTCATACCAAGATAACTTTATCGTTAATAAAACTTGTTCATTGTTAAGTGTTGTCCTGGTTATTTCCTGTCCGCCTCATCCGCACCGTATTCCTTTAGTAGTA